CTTTCCCTGGATAGAAGGATTATCATCTGAGTGTAACAAGAGATAGCAACCCTTGCATGCTGTGGCTGTTGCTGGCAGTGGGTGATTCTGCCTTGCTGAACCAACTTGCTGCCATGCGTTATCACTGCAGCTGAAGTGCTGCAGTAGTTACCCTAAAGCTTTCTACACACATTTCCAGATAAACTGCATCACGGATCATCACCAGCCATTTTCATTTTTAATCAGGTCTTGGTAATAACCTTTCTAGTTTAAATAAGTTATTGTGCCTAATGTATAAATATTTTATTGTTTCAGTTTTACTGAAAAACATTTCAGGAACACAGGGTAATACTCGAGTTTATTGTCTGTCCCCTGACTGACTGCTTAACGTTTTTACGATAGCTCTGCACACAGTGTTTCAGAAATGCCACTTTGCTCCTGCATCTGCTGAAAAGAGCAGTCACTCATAAAACCTGCCTCAAAATTGTGTGCACAGATCAAACAGTTCCACCTGGCATGCTGCCATACCAACCTGGAGTGGAAAAAAATATAATAATAGGAGAGCCCTACAAGTTTCGAAAGCGGAAAGAAAAGCCTAACAAAGGGGAAAATGAGGGAGAAAAACATGCCATGTACTGGATAAACAGGAAGAACAGGACAAGACTAAACTATCTTCTTTCCTGAAAGCATTATAGAAGCAATGACAGCAGTGGAAGTCTGCTGTCACACAGAGCAGTAATTTATTTTTATCAGGAGTCAGGAGCATTGCATGGCAAAAATGAAAGTGTCCAGAAGAGCTCCAAGCAGACAGAGAACCTGCAAACAGTGGTGGGCTGTGATTTTCTGCCCCAGCTTCAAAGGAAGGTTTTGATTGTACATCATGTATTCTGCTGCCCTCTCGGGGAGTGCTTGCTGTGGCTTGTGGATTTGTCCTCCTTTAACACAGCTGGGTTCTTGGCTACGGTGGATGGTTCTGAAGGTAACAGTGAGCCCCACAAAAGGTGATTTTTTTAAAAACATCTCTTTAGAGTATCAATCTGAGAGTAAACCAGCAGTGCTGAGCCACACAATTCATCTCTCCCCTGCGCTTTTTAAAGGGGAAGCCAATGGGGAACTGCAGAGACAATTGCTTTCAGTGGGTATTTTGCCATCATTGTGGGACCCAGGGAGAATTTGATTTATTTTGTCCTTCCTGGAGGCCCTTTTTATCTTCACTCCAAGTTGCTTTCTGAAATGAAGCACTGGGACTGGCTTCATTCAGCAGCTGGGATCCAGCTTCCTAAAATCATAGAGTAACTGAGGTCAGCCGGGACCTCTGGGGGTCATATCACCCACTCCCTGCTCAAAGCAGGGCCAACTTCAAAGCTAGCTCAGGTTGTTCAGGGACTTGGCCAGTCCTGTTTTGGATGTCACTGAGGACTGAGGTGCCCCAGTTCCAGTGCTTTACCACTTCCACCGTGAAGATTTTTTCCATGCAGTTAATCAGAATTTTCCTTGCTCAGCTTGTCTCTGCTGCCTCTTACCTCTTAGGACTCCTTTGCACCATCCTATTCCCTCAAATCTCATTAGCAGAGAACTAAATGCCTTTTTTTGGTAGGAGTTGTGCACTGCCTTCACTCTTCACCTGGTCTTTCAGGGTTTTGTGTCCAGTTTGAGGAATACAGCTTTCTGACAACTCAATGATGTAAAGGAAATTCTGTAGTAAAATATTGGGAAAAGATATTTTTACAAGCTTCAAAGATGATACTTACAACATTATCAGTGTCTGTGCTGTGAGGAAGCAATTTCAGGGTATGAGGAGGTTGGCTGCGACCATTATCTATCATTTTAAAAGTAACTACATTTGCAGTTATGGTTGAGATCTTCCTAGGCAGGTGGGAATGTTAAAGAATAATAATTTCTCCAGCAGTGCAGAAGAGCAACCAATGCCAATGATGAGAAATACTGGTGTTACTTCTTAGCATGAAAGTATACTTTGGGGTGGAAAGTAGTTTTGGAAGATAACATTAGAAATCTAGATTTAGAAATAAGAGCAGACTCTGAACCAGTCTCTTTGATGTCTCAGGGCCCAGAGTTAGATCAGGTCCCATTTCCACTTTTAACAAGGAAGTTTAGTAAGAAAACCAGGCAAAAGTGGCCTCGTTCTCATTCCTATTTACTTCCCTGCAGTTTACCATGGCCTAAATGCTGGGAAAAAAAGACCCAGCTGTTTCCTTTTTGTTTTGAAATTAGTATTTGATTATTAAATATAAGCATTTGTTATTTTTTTTGTGTAGAAGAAAGATGAGTTAGGTTACTGTTTTCTTTGGCTAACAGAGTGTTAACAGTCCTTATCTCAAGTGAACCCATCTACATAAATATTTACTGTTTACTTTGTACTGTATGTTTAGTTTATATTTTTAAACAACAAACCAAAAATGTGTTTCT